AGCTTTTTTGAAAAGTAATTCAGCATCTTCACATCTAAATCTTAAAGATAAGATTTGCTAATTAAGTAATAAAATGCATGTTTAATGAGGTAAAAGGTTATGTTGAATCTGCGTAATAAATACAATAAATTAAATAGCGTAAAACATTATCTAGTCAAAACACTACACATGATAGTTGTATATAAAAACATAGCAATTAAGTTGATTAGAGTATAAGTAGCGATTACAAGAGAAATATATCATACTTAAGAAGATAGAAAAGGAAAAAAAAAACCTTAAATACTTTTAAGAAATAGATGTGAGTGAGACATCATTGGAAGCCTTTTCAACATCTCCTAAGTGCCAACTCAATTTGGATGAAATTCTTAAAAGCTCTCCAATGCGGAAGGATCTTGATTCATAACTCAAGATATGAAAGTCACATACTATCGTGGAGAAAATGTTGTTCAAGAAAAATGTGATGATGCATGACTCTGATGATATTAAAGAATGTCGTATTGACATATTATGATCATCAATAAATCTAATGTTTTAATATACTGCTCCATATTAAAGGCCAAAATGACATCTAATATCTAATTAATTGACAATTGATTCTTCTTTCTTGCAAATAATGTTGCCACCTAGAAAATCTTTATAAAACTATTACAGGTATCATAATCCGAAAAATAGAATGTATAGATGTTTCAAAGTAGAGAATCCGGGCACAAATAGATCTATTCGTGTCTCTTTATAATTGCAAGCTCAGTTGTATGATATTGCAATATCGTCATAAGAAAATACTCCTTCATGGTTGTGTGAACTAAATTATTAATTTTTTTAAATAGCTTCTTCTATGAAATTAGTCATAGATCCCAAAAAAACAAAAAAGAAAAAAAAAAAGTTTATGCATCTCTACTATCTATTTTACATGTTTTGAGATCATACATCTTCATGATCAAGTCACATCAGCAACATCACTTGGTTGTATCTCACTACTCACATGTGTGGCCAAAGATATTACTCTTCAAAGGAAATTCAATCCTCAAAGCAAAATAACCAGTTCGGCTGCCACCTCAATTGTACATCAAGCCCTCCTCTAGTGTGACGTAAACACCATCGTGAAACAAAACAAAAAAAAAGTAAAAATCATGAGTGCTAGTTCATGAGAACACGTATCAAATTATTGTGTGGCAGGGAAAGGGCACATATAGGCTAATCGTGGAATGTACGAGGGAGCTTATGGAACAAATGCGGACTTAAAAACCTGGTTTGAAACAACTCTAGATAAGAGTCTTATTGTGATCCTAAGCAAATCCACAATACGATCATATGGTGAAACAATCGGTGTAGTGTCAATCATGATACCTCCGTGAATGATTTCAATGCACATCCAAAATATTTCAATCAAAGTTATTTTTGCATCTTATTCACATACTCTTCAACCCACATAGCCCGTAGAAAGAGTTGATGATAATTCGAACATGAAATTTCGATTTTAAATCTAGATAGCTCTATAAATAAAAATGTAATTATAGCTAACACAAATTTGACCTGAAACACATTTTGAATCAACTCCAAGGAAAAGAAAACACTCTCACATCCACCATATTACATGAGTCATAATACACAATCCATCAATTCCAATACAAGTCGATGACTTTCAAACAAGTTCCCAATGATATGAGACATAGACAAGGAAAATACTTGACGAATCATATATACAAAAAATGACGTATGTCATTTATTGGTTTTCAAGTCATATAGAGATTCATCTTCACTTAAAGTACTTTTTATGTGTAATATATAGCTTGCAGATGAACATGATAAACATGAACATTACGGTAGATCTTCAGCGGAGTCAACAGAAAGAGTTTGAGAGAGTTGAAGTAGTCACGACCACCGACCAATCAATCGACGGCCATCAGCACTAAAACCAATTTCTCAGGCATCTCAAAGCATCATTCATGCGAGATGAGCCTCAAACTCAGATCATTTATCAATCACTCCAATATTCACGTTGAGGCTCCAAGCTGTTTTCTACGAGAGCTGGATGTGTCACAAATGTAGAGATTGTATCCAGTGCTGTCCCTCAACTTGCACTGGATCCGTATGTGCAAGGATGAATAGTGCACATACTCAGTTGCAGATTTCAAGTGCTCAATCTGCTAGTGACATTGTTGCTCACCGTGAATCTTACTTGCTTGGCCATTCTTCCTGGGCTACACCGGAGATGAAATTGCATCAAGTTCATGTAAAAATCTGCGATTGACTGTTGGTGCCTGGTGATGATAAAGCAGAAGGACCCAAGCAAACACCGAACATGAAACATGCCCACTGAGAACAGCTTGGCTACTATATCACTGTACTTTGAGATGGCAGAAGTTCGTAAAGAAGAAACAGTTGAATTGATCTCCAATCATCTGAAACGAAACTATCGGTGTTCAGGTTGAGATCACTCTACTCATTTCAATATGCAGAAACATACAGAGAGTTTATACATTTCTACACTTTGGAAGAAATTACAGTCGAACTAGCTTCGGAAAGCTTATATAAGCTTTAACAATCCCAATACATGCCTAGCAGACTGTCACCTGGGTATCGTTTAGTATCATCGAAGTAAACCGTGTATATGCATCTGAAGTCTGGTAGCATAACCTGTCTCCTTGTGACTAAATCTCCTTATTTGGATCCTTACTATCTCGCAAAAAGCATGCTTTTTTAATGAGAGATTTCATCTTAAGAGGGGATGGAGACATCGACAATCCAAAGGTTATCAGACAAAAGTGAAGGCCAAAGATTTGAATCTGTAGAGTGATGAATGGTTCAAAGTCTAATTCTAAAGTACCATGAATTGTGCATTGCAAGGTTGAGGACAACGATGTTACACAGTCGGTAGCGTGTGTTGTGGTTGTCTATGTGGAGGTTCTGGCTCAGATCGAAGGTATTAAACACAGTTCAGGATCACCATGAGGTTCAGCACCAAACTCTCACAAACTTTAATGACTGCAAGTAGCTCACGACTTGTACCGAAGCCTCCAGGGGTGTAATGCACTCAGGCATTACTTGAAGTTTGCAGCTGGCGACGCGACCAGTCCAGGCCATGGACAGTCCCCCACGTATGTAGAAGTGTATGGAGCACTATACAAGCCACTTTCTACAACCTCATATGCACGCACTTGACACACATTTGAACTGAATATGTGCATCTTGCTGGGTACAGACAACACTCTTTCAAAGAAACTCTAATAAATGATTATCAATTGGCGACCAAGCATCAGTTGATTCAAAAGAAACTGTCACACAATCCTCCTGAAACACTTCATGGTCTTTGGACACGGTGAAGAGTCAAAACAACTTTTCATACAATCGACTATCTCTAATGGCAATACAACTAGAAATACCACTGATCAGTTTTGGACACCCAGTTTTATCTAAACCCTCGAATCAGTCAATCAGAGGGATAAAATTGACTAGTGATCATCACTGAGCAGTTCAAGTTTATACGTGCACATAATTGAAATGAAAATCCTTTCCCACAATTTGAGTCTCAACCCTCTATCTTGTTCGGCGGTTAGGATTGTTACACATCGAGAGTTGAGCTTTCGAAGTTTGTATAATAGTTTGAGTATTCGGGTACTACTGGCTCCTCTTATAGGCCATCTATTTTGCACCAAGTTCAAATCCACGTGGGGCTCACATATTGAGATCGATCCTCGTTCATTACTATGGGGTGGAGTACTGCAAGGCAAATATGAATTTTGATTTTTGTATCCGTTTCAAGCTTTATAAAGCTTTATTCTCATAATTGTACCATATCATCAACAACATTTGTTAAGCGAAACGTGATTAGTCTTTCCAATTATGCCTACAGTACTGAATCTAAAAGACTTGATGGGGATCATTATTGGCCATTTTTATTTTTCGTGTCAACGATGACAAGTCAAGATTCTAACGAGGAACATGAAAGTATATAAAATGTGTATTGACTAATCGTGAGTAGAGCCGCCTATATTTGAAGTATCATGTACTTTAAACATGTATGAGTTTACATACAAATGGTTCAACGTAGAGCTTATGTGGTAAATGGTAATGAAATGGGCATAATAACAACTGAGTTATATATAGATGTACAAGATTTTGGGGAACGGCGTGGACTATTATGTGACATCCGGTTTTACTTCTTGGTTCAGCTGTTTTATGTATTACATCAAAACACTGGACTTACTCGATCTCCTATGCAGAAATCTTGGTTGTGATTAGTACGATAGACTCAAGATGATACCTGTGAGAGTATGTTGGGCTTTGTGGAGTGATATATCTCAATCATGGGAACAGTTGATTTCTATAAATAAACAAGTGCAACTCAGGGCTTGTCACAACCACCTTTAGTTGCTTTGGAAAGACGACTATTTTCTTTTCCTGCGAAAGCTTTTTAGAATTGACCGGTGATGATTATTTAAGGTTGCTTCTCTTCTCGAACATTCTAAAATTCTTCCTAAGTCTAATGTACAAAATCAACTCCATGTTACAGTCTCTTGGTTTGATCAGTGCTGCATATTTACACCCTCGTGTATTTTCTGCGTGTAAATGAGACTAGATTCAGAACTCTGCACGATAAGTTTCGACACATAGACGATACAATGAAACAAACGGTAGTACTGACACTGGAGATTATCATTCCTAAGCGTAGACATCGTTCACAAGCATCGTTTATACTTCCACTTTGTTTCCACAAAGTAGGCCGAGGAGTTTTCATCTCCTTTCTGGAATTGAAAGTGAAGCCTTGGCCTCTCTGCATGTCTGTACTAAATTCCAACTCGCTATCCGTATAGACATCAACCCCGAAAAGATTACAACAATAGAATAAAGTCTGCATTGCACGGAGAAGTTTTGGTGCAATGGATACTCGCAGTAACTTCTTAAGAGGGGTGCGAATTGAGCATACTCTATGTGAACCGAAACCACAAATGTAGGGACCAAGCAAGTAAAAACTGATCAGCTACAAGCAAAAAATTTAGTCGCATCCGAGCCTCCAGCATTTCACTCCAAAATTTGCTGCAATCAGACTGGAAAATTCTTTACTCTGACAAGAAAAAGACCTCTATCGGTCCAGAGCAGTGGCTCAATCGGCAGCATGTACAATCAATTACTGCAATCCTGGGACAGCCCCGCTGGTGTCCACTACCATATATCGGAGAATGAGAACCACCGAGGCAACCCTGAGCAAACTATGAAGCTAAGAATGCAGATTGCAAAGTCATAGGAGTGAACAATAGCACTACTTATACAGACAGACAGACAAACTAATGGCACCTTGAGGGATTACCCTGGTCAGAGAAAGTTCTCTTGAAAGGTGGGCTGATCTGTTGCCCACCTCCTCAAGACTTTGCCATGACAGTTTGCCTCACAAAGAATGTACGATAATCTTAACTAGAGATGTTGCAGGCCGATTTTAAGGGCAGCTTGCGACCCAGTATTATAGGACCTGCTAGAATACACCCGGCCCGTCATCCCTTGGCAGATATGCCAACCTGTGTAGCTCACCCTTCAACCACCAGGCCTTACATGATTCCGAATGGAAGCAAGGCTGCTGATTAGTAACTCAACCATCACTTTTGATACATGAGAGCCACCAGATATGCAGGAACAGTCTTGCTTGGAACTCCATAATCTCCTTGTGCGAAGACTCTAATCATGGAGACATTCCGACTCAGCCCTTGGAACCTCTCAATATGTACAAGAGAAGAGGAACTTATTTGCTCACCGTTCTCCACAAATCGCAGCTGCAAGACATCCTCTGATCCATATGATACACAGGAAGAAGCCAAAACCTGTTGCAATCTTTCCCCAAGAACTAAGCTAAGCTATAGGAATATTTAGGCGTTAAGACCAAGCTCATCACATGGTTCCCCTGGATTGTTCAAAACTAGTGTACTCTTCAGCGCCCAATAAAATCGAACCCACGTGAACTGCCTCAAGTAGGGCGCTAGTAATAACATAAGGACTGAAACCTTGCCACAAAACGAGGGCGTCGGATTCGTGTGACCCGCAGCCACTCGCACAAGGTCAAGGACGCTGGGGGCATGATACCTCGTCGGTGAATTGAATATCACATTATCCACCTTGTGCTCGTATATCTTTCCCTCCTTGTCCAGCTTGTATTCGGAGGTCCCCTCGAAATGACCCTGTGCCTCCCAAGGCACTCTCGGAATACCACGGACAGTCCACCGGACCATAATGACCTTGTCGTGAGGTTGCCAGACGCGATTGATGTCAACCCAGAGGGCTCTGAAAAATATACGCCCGTGGAATCTGAGAGCCCAGAATATGAGTTTGTAGTTGTCGATGCCCGAAAAGGTATTCATAGGGTCTCGAAAAGTTATGTCGTCCCTGCACCAAGTAATCAGTAGAACAAAGATCAGCTGGGGAGAGATGGTCGACAGATCCCTTCCTGCCGAGTTTCAACTCGACCTCTCTCGTGAACAGATTCCATAAAAAACAAGGATTCGTTCTCAGGAGAGGATGCAAACGGAAAGCAGATGGTACAGAGTATAATCTAATGGCGACTTGGGAAGCTTCTTGAGAGTCGTCTAGAGGGTCCCAGTGCTGAAGAGACTGCTTGCTTCTTTCCCGTTCGTGTTCATGCGGTTTTCAGACAGCAGTCATGGGAAAGAGGGAATAAGTACCTGTATATGTCGAAATTGAGCCTTCTGTAGAACAAATTCGGCAGCTCTTCCCGCAAAGTCCGAATTGCGTAGCCTGTGTTCACGTAGTAATTATCTCGTTCGGCCTGCTTCTCCTCCTTCTGCCTGGGTGGAGGAGATCCAGACTGCACCGCTGCTCTAAATTCGGTGGCAATCCAGTGACGGTATAAATTCTCGCCAGGCCTTCCATTGTGCTCAAACACGTCGGAGACGCTGATTTCTTGCTGTCCCTCTTCTTCGGGGGCTGGAGGTTCTGACACTTCAACCTTCGAAACCTTCTCTCCTAAAAGATTAAGATCGCGTGGGGGCACCCCAGAGAAAGGCCAACCTAAGGGAGGCCTGAATACGGATTCCGGCTCTGAGTTGTCATCGTCAACTTGCACTGAAGTACAGGTTTTGAGCTCCGCACTACATCGCACTCTCCTGCACGAGCCACAGACCCTAATTTCAGCAAAATCCCCCAACAAGGGGCCCAATTCATGGCAGACATGATCTTAAACCTTGCACGAGAATCGACAAGAGCTCAACGGGTTTAAGACAGGCAGCTTACCGGCACGCGCATGACGAGAATTTCGACCTACTCCCGTCACCAGAATCAGACGCGCGCTTTTGCTTCCTGTCTACAAAACATCTCCTGCTCCTGCTCCTGCTCCCGCTCCCCGCAGCTCGCCCCAAGGCCACAGACGGACTCAAGCTCGGGAGCCCGACGACACCAGCACCAGAAGCGGCAGGGATCACGATCTTCCGATGGTGCGTACAGTCGAGGCCGAGAGAAACGACTAAGGCCATCGAAACCATAGAAATCTCAATCCATTCACCTTCCGAGACCAAATTCCGCCCGCTGCTCTCGAAATCACCCTCGCCTTCCCTCGCCTTGCCCGAATTCCAGGGCCACCGAATCCTGTGGAAGCGCAATCCAATGCGCCCTGCTCTCCTTCTCCCTCCCTCTGGATCCTCTGCCCCTCGTCCAGGTGCTCCTCGTGGCCCTCGCCCTCTCCCTCCCTCGATCGATCGCACTCTTCTGCTCCCACCTCCTCTTCCGCCCCCTTTCCTCTACTCGCCTCTGGCTCCCCTCGCTTCCCCTTCCTTCCCTTCCCTTCCCTTCCCTTCCCTTCGCTGTCCTGTCGTGGCCTTCGTTCCCGGTCCCGGTCCAGGCCCCGTCCCGTCCCGTGCGATTGTTCGCTCGTCACGATCCAATCTTGTGACCGTCGGCAAGTGCCAGCAACAGAACGACTTCGATTCTGCGGCACACAAATCTCAGCCATAGCCACAACCGGCGCTCCGCGGGGCCACGGGAGCCGGGGCCCGGGGCTGGCTCGGGGCCTGGGGCTCGCTCCGCGGACTGCTGCGTGGCGCGCTGGCATTCGAGCAGCGCGGGCGACCACGGTTTCAGGGCACCCCTGAATGACGCGCGGCCACGTGGTGGCATCGGAGCCCAAAATTCGAATGATCCCGAGGCCAACCCGCATTCCGGGTCGGAAGCACGCGGCCGAGTTTCTCGGGCTCCGGGCAAAGTTCGACGTCCGAGCCACGAAGGCGACGGGCCGGATCGGTGGCCCTGACCTCTCGGAGTACCCTCCTCTGGCCGCGTCGGGTGACGTCGGACAGAAGATATCGCCGTGCGGCGTCGGGGTCCGCGTGTAGGTCACCCGAGCGGTCAACAAGTCGGGCCTCGACCGGACCGGACCGCACCCGACCCGAGTGGAGAAGAGACGGCCAACTGCGTGAGGGCGGGCGCCGGATATTATAGTTCCACCACGAACTTCAAAAGGAGGTACCATGTTAAAGTTTGACGAATGTGGCTGTAACAAGGTTCGTTGCAACAAGTGGCTGAGAGCAGTGAACGTGCAATAGCTAGATAAGAGCTTCCTCTAGAGCCAATCATGGCAAAGTCGTCCAGTATATCTGGAGCATATATATTTCACTTCGTTTCGGCTTTTGCCCTTTGTGTATATCCTTCTGTATAGTGAAACCGTGCGACCGACATGGTTTTCTCAACCTCGCTCATGTCTCAACCGCGTAAGGGAAATATTCACAAGATGTTCCTCGTCGTACAACTTTGCCTTCCATGACGAGGTCAGGATACATTGACTTTCACCTTGGCTACCATCGCTCACAGTGAGTCTTATACCAACTTGAGATTACACAGAAATCTAATCTACATTAAATTTCAAGGACACCGAAGCTAGCGATCTCAAGGGGTCAAGTTATCATCATAGTAATATAATTCAATTTTTTTCATACTTACTTCATGTTAAATTGGTATTATATGGTAACAAATTATTATTTTAAATAGTTCTCATAATATTTATTTTTCTTACTTTCATAATTGGATTACAGGATCAATATTTATTTTACGCTATACGATATTGATAATCATTTGCTTGACGTTAATCAGTGAAAGTAACCAAAAATATTTTAAAACATCTGGCATGTACTTTATATGTATGAAATTAAAACCCATCAGAATGATATAAAAAGAATATTGCAAGATTTTTTTTTAAATAATATTAATCCATCAACAGGTACGGATGATACACAAATCTATTATTCTAACTATTTACTCCTTTTTTTATTTTAAAGTCAAAATAATAAAGATTCTAAGGTTTCAATCAACAGATTACTTAGAAGATATATTTATACATATAATTTTAAAATCCAGGACTCTTTTTTTAGTTAATGTAAAGCTTTACAATCTGATCTTATAACACTAGCAAATTGAGTGCAAATTATTTGACTATCTAGAAAATTATGAATATAAGCAAAATTCAAAAACATGAATCTTCAGACAATATATCTAACAACAACTAATAAATTTTTTTAATAAAAATTCAAATATAGTTCAAAAAAATCAACTAGTTCTAAGTCTAATGATCATTATCAAAAATAATTTTCTTAAAAATTAGAAGGTCAAAAAAAATTATTTCTAAAATTTATTCCAAAAAAACAAAAAAAGGTTAAAATATATTGAAGTTGAATTTCTATTCATAAAAATAGAAATAATGCCTTATGTCAATTTTTTTGTGGATGAGTATATTGCAATTAATCTTTTCTGCTACTGGAGTGTATTCTGTGATATTTTCATACTTAAATTATTTTATTTTAATTTCCTATGAATTCAATAATTGTTAGATGAAAAATGCAAAATCATTCTTTGCAAACATTCACACTTTCCTGATGTATACTTCAAATTAATATAGGGTAAGAGGGAAAAAATATCATCTTACAAAATTTATCTATTTTTTTTCAATCAATCTCTTTCGTTTCAATTCATAATATGTTGGATTTATATTTTTTTGGAAACAAAGTTATATGTATATATGTTATATGAACAATCATGCAAATCATGTATCCAATATTCAATGCATTTTTTAATAAAATTTAGATAGCATAATATTAAGAATGCTTTCATGGAAGCACTATATTGCACTTCAATTTGAACATATGCGTTTAATATAAATTTACAATTATTCTTTTTTTGTAACTTGTGAATGACTTTGAACCTGAATCAAACATGTTCGTTTTATCAGGTTTGCGATTAGTTTCTATTTTCTATTATGTGTCAATGTGACCTTTTCATTACTCTCGCAAACGTGTGCCTTCCCACATTCGGAAGAGTAATAGTCGAAAATATTGTAATCTACAGTCATTTCCGGTTTGCAACCATTATTCAGCTTATCTTTGCTTTCTCAGCAGACCTTTATGTAAATGTTGCTTCTCATTAAATGGTATGAGCTGAATGCTTCTGTATCACTAAGAAGTATCACTTTCTATCCCAATGTCCAGGTCAAAGTTTAGAGGAAATACTATCCCAATCTAAGGCCGATTAAGAGCGCAGATTCAAGCGAAATGATATAAGCGAAAATCGAACGGCTGGATGAGATCAAATAGCCATATATCACAGCGAATGCAAACTCACTGAAGATTTCCCGAATTGGAATGTTTGCAGGTTGACTCTGGCGCAATTGGGTTGATGGATGCAAGGCCATGGCGACGGACATCGAGACAGAGGAGCAACTGTGCGCTCGCTCGCTCGCTTCCCAGAACCTGGATTTCATTCATGTGACCGTTGTGGTTGTGTGAGTGTGACCAAGACGTAAAGCATAGAGATCGTGCTGTGGGGCTGGGACTATTTCTGACACCGCAAATTGAAGGAAGACAAGAAGGGCTAATGCATGTATATATAGAACACTGTCCTGCATAAAGTTTTGTTCCGTTCTGTAGTGTACACCGGGCTCCCACCTTCCCCATATCCATAACAGTCTGAAAATGGAATACCAGCGAGCATGCTAACTTTAGCGCCTCAGAAGAATTCCTTGTCATCACGAAGCAATATAGAACGCTATTCAACTCTCCCCGCCCTTTTGACAGGTTTTTCATGGATGTAGCAGATTCCTGGTCTTAGAACCGAATACGCTAAAGTCGTATTTTTTTTCCATAAATCCCCTGAATCATCATCCGCTAAAATGGTAGCATTATCACTGCATTGCTTAGTAGTGAAGGTAGTCTTATTTTATTCTCCTCTCCCAAAGTATATCGTTCATGTCATGCTAGGCAATATAATATGACAGAGGTGAAAGGCTAAGGGAGTTTCTTCTTAGTAGCAACAATTAGTTTTAAATAATCTTGACATACCCAACTCTGTCCAGTACTCTTTTCGGGCAATTTCACAATCGTCGCAGCCGGTCCACCACTTTACATAAATACATAGTCATGTAGAAATTCGTTATCGATTTTGAATCAAATTATCCCATTAAAGACTTTAATATAAATAAAAGTATCACTTCATTTTGAGTGATGTTTAGCTCTTGGTAGAACATGCAAGCGTGGAGTTAGAAATGAGAGAGTTCGAGTAAGAGGTTGCATTTGCATCAGGGGTTACTGGACTGAAACATGTATTTTTAAAATCATGTTGGGTTTCCAAGAACCCTTAGGAAGTAAACCCCACTGATTTGCAACTCGGATATATTCTCAGAGAAACTGTGTGTCAAGTATTAGAAGGGAACATTAGAAAAATTATTCATATATATTGAGAATACATGGTGATGGAAGAGAAATATATTTGATTAGCGTGGGAATGGTGCGAAAGAATGAGGCTTGACAAAAGTTCCACATACAAGCTTAGCTTTCTTAGTATCCACTAAGAGACGTAATACGTTTTGAAAAGTGTTCTCCACATCCACTACAATACAGCCTAATCCTGGTAGATTATTATGAGGGCTCTGGAGCCCAATAATAACGCCTCACAAACTCTGATAAAGATGCGACGAAAGTGAAACTATGTTGAAAAACCAGGGTATTAATCAAAAGGTGCAAGAAACACTCCCCAACAACAATAGGTCTGGTGCTAATTGAAAAAACTAGCACATGACTCCTGTGTCGGCAAAATCTACCATCTTGATATTCTCAAACCTTTGTGATTTGTCACTCCATGTGGAATCAAAAGAAGTTCACGTCGTCAACAGTCACTCAATATTGCTCCTGATTTGTGTGTGTACTCCTGCAATGTAACCCAATCTATACCTTGCAGGGAATCTACGACATTAAAAATATCCTGGTGCCAACTCTAATACGTGTCGTTAAGAGGTGGCCGCTTCATCTAATTATTCATCGTTGTCTTGGACAGATGCGGAAAGGGCTTGGTTGAAGAGTTCATAGTCGAGGGCAGAGACTGTGAACTGTGGAGCAGGAAGCAAATCGGCTGTTCGACTTGTGCAGTGGATCCACGACAAGCCAGAACGTGTCTTCTTCGACAGGTTTGAGCGCTGGGGCGTCAATATTCACCTCGAGGAGCGGACGAAGTCACTGCCGTGCGCGCAGGTTTAGTGTGCAGAACATTTGTAGGACGAGCCTGGCTGCATCTCGACGCCTCGAGGCCAACCTGATGAGATTCAGGTTCCTTTTGAGACCTCCGGATGGATAAAACTCGTCGAGATTCAAACACTGCGGTGATTCGAAATCGTAAGCTGGGCAATGTCGAAGATCGTTTCCGATTTCCTCTCCCACCGCTCAATTTGAGATTGTCGGGCGATGTCGTCGATCGTCTGAGATAGACAAGACAAGCCAGTCAGGTTCAAAGGCGGAGCAGTGGCACGATGGCACAAGTGTTACTATCCTTTGTAAACGAGCAGACTCTGATGTCCGGAATCGCTCTTCTCTGCCGTTCTGTGGCAGTCTTGAGCTTGATTCTGTCAAATTGCGCTTTGGCACTTCAAAGACTCATCATCCAAGCCTTTTATGTGGATGGACGAGCTGATCGGATCGAATGTCCTCACCACCCCGACCGTCCCGATGAAGACCTGCAAATCGATCGTGAATTTCGACGTAGGCAAAGACCGGTCCGTCCTACTTTGAATGCTCAATAAATCATAATCGAGTGAGGATTGTGCCCGCTAGAAATCTTTCAAGTGTATTCCAGCGTGCCGCTGATGTCAGATGTAGTAATCTCCTCAGTCCTGTGTTTCAGAGTCGAGAGAGAGAAGCGTTCCAGATTTCAAGTTGATTACCGGCCGTATAACTAGTTTACGACTCCGGCTGCCGTGCAGTTCACGAAGGCGTCCATATCCACGCGAGAGCTCTGAGTAGAGGCATAGATTCACAGTAGTGACACTCGCGGTTTGTTTCTCAGACGGTTTGCCTAGGATACAGTCTACGATTGCCCCTGCTTTGAACGAAATCACGGCTGGATGGATCACCTGGACTTTAGGCTTCGCTTCCTCGAGGTTCGACATTCTTATGAATTCCAAGCTTTGGGAGTCTTGGACAAGATGCAATTTCAGCAGATTGAGGCGATTGAGTGGATTTCTCTCTGTCGAGCTACTACCCTCCTGCATTCAGCTTTCCTCCAACTGTTTTGCAGCTAAATCTTGTAGAATCCAATATAATTAAATGTACTGCACTTTTTGGTGCCGTCAGTCGCTCTTTCCGTCGTCAAGCTCAAACTCAAATCAAGTCTTGGAGGTGAACATCAGGATGTGCCCCTGCTGGTAAGGTGGTCAGAATCTGCTGGACACAATCCCGTTCACAGTCTTGGGTACAGTCGCTCCCCATTGGACTTCACATTCCATTTCTGTAGTCTACATCTGATACTGTCTTCATGCGCTGCCGGGGAGTCAAGGTCACGATGCCTCTGTCCTACAGGCTCTTGTCTCGAACATCTCCTTCAACTGGGACATCTCCTTCGACTGGGAGACACGACATGTTCTAAGACGTCCCGTTCCCGCTGATTATAGTCGAGTCGATGTTCAGCTTGTTATTTTTCTACATTCTCGAGCTTTGAAGAAAAAAATAATTCCATGTGACCTGCTCTAAATGACAATTTGCTTAATAAAAAAATTATATATATATATATCTTTATATATAAAAAAACCACTTTTATTTGAAAATTTTATATAATAATTTGGTATTTATACTTAGTTTTTTAATTGTTATTAGGATTTTTTATGCTTACAATAATTAGTTATTTTCTATTTTCTTTTCTTTTATTTTCACGTAAGCCATAAACTGCTATTTGCTCTTCGATTCTCGTCCGCTTTACATTCCACTCCTGGGAACTTGCAAATTTGGCAGTAGTTGATATATTTTTATTGAGTTTTCATTTTATTTTGAGAAAAAAATCGTTATAAATTAGAATCAACTAGACTTCATATTTAAAGCTCGAAAATAATGTGTATATGATAAAGATTCATCACGGTCGCTATGGACATGTTGTTACACCCACGATAATGCTACGGATATGGAAAGTATGGTTATCCTATAGTATGGACCAGATTAGCATAGAGGTGTTGACATTCAAGCACTGGAGATGCGCGAGGTTTACTAGTGAGGTTTGACATTATTATTAGGTTTGACATCGAATTTTGTCCTTCACCAGATAATAGGAACTTTTTTTTCAAATGTTTTTCAAAGAAATCTCTCTAGTAGAAGGAAACTCCAAGAGCCCTTGATGCATTGGACAACGTGCAGTTCATAGAATGTGCGGGCTAGAGACGGCAGGACATGCATGTCAATGATGGCAGGCAATTCAAGGAGTTGCAGCATGATGTTCAGTCTCCTACAAACGCTGCTGGGCCTTGAATATCGAGATCTCCTCTCGTCTCCATCCTGAACACGACAAATTGATGCAGCTGGGGCAGCTCACGAGACAATCACATGGTGCGTGCATCCATCTCAATGTTGACAATTTACTTATAATTTTAATCAATCAAAACCAACCGCCATCCCACATTCTTAGAATCTGGCTCTTGTTCATACTGCCGACTTGGAATTCGTCACTATATACCATTATAAGCACAGTGATGAATGTACCTTACGTGATCACATCTATCTCAAGAAGACGATTTTCATTTTCACTTCTCACTCGGTACGTTATCCATTTCTATTAAAGTGCACTCTTCCACCATCCATGTACTTTTTCAAGTCACTTTCGAATACAGCTTGGCCTCTCGCCATTTTTCTTCTTGTGCATCCAACGTCATCAACATTGTCTAGGATGCCCGTTTGGTGAATGTGTCAACGCAAATCGTTTGAAAGAACCGAACCTCCAATCATTCTAGAGAGAGAGAGCGAGATATTCGAAAGTGGCTTCTCTCGGTGGGGCTCTATACGATGGGTCAATCTTTGTGGATAATCGGGCCACAACATTGCCAAATGATAGGTCCGATTCTTTGCGATCAACGGCAGCACTTCGCTAACGAACAAACATTTAACTCAAGATGATTTGTATTGCAGATCAGACTGAGGGTCACCAATGGAATTGCGATAATGTGAACAACCAGGTGCCTCGAGGAATTGTTTGATCTGGGAACCTGTTGCTGCTTGCTCGAGCTCCCGTGGATTTCTCATTATCCTTTTCCTTTTCATCTTCTGAATTTTTAATCTCTACGTCAAAGTCAGGTGTCGGGCTAGCCTCCAGAGCTCTTTGGGGACGTGCTAAATGGCTTGAGTTCGAGCGTGTCGAACTTACAACCCGGCTATAAATCGCATCTCTTCACCACCTGAACAGAAAATGGAAAATATCTGGTAGCCTCCACTCAAGATTAGTCATGCGCTGGTCTCGGTCACAACCTTAAGGATGGTTGGGAAGTCCTCATGGGGGATGGAGAGATAGATCATAGGAGTAAATCCAAAAATTACAGTTCGTGGTTCTTTACAAGTGATATGGGTTCAGGTGAAGGAGGGTTACTTTGATGAGACAACGGTCATAAGAGACTGAAAAAGTTTCACCGACTTGTCAAGCATCTACCATGTTTTCTGAGTAAGACGAGATTTGAAACTGCACAATTTTCGGACGAACATCATCGGAAGGAGTACAGCATGACAACATCATTAACCTTCCGGCGGGCTGTACATTCCTTCACTAAATTAATAAATTACAGACCCTTGCGCACTACCTTTTCTTGCGAGTTTTACTTCGTCCGTGCCCACAAAACCTCCTTTTCTTCAACTGCATTTGTCATTAAGTGGCTTTTCCAGTAGAAGAAATCCCAAGTAGACACTCATCAGTATTTCCCCACTAAAAGATGTAGATTATAATCAAATATTGTACTGTATCTCAACACAAAAAATTGGATCGAAGTGACTCGAACAAGCAAAAGCAGAAGTCCTGATACTCTTCGCACAGGGTGTAGTCATAGCGCCAGTCCTATCACCCACACTGAAACGAAGCAAAAGTCCAACATAACGTTATGAAGTACAGATCATCATGACTTCTAAAGAACAGGTTGCACATTGGCATGTCAACGAATTTTAACGGTGTTTGGTTACGTCATGATTTTGTAACCTTCCACAAACAGAGTACAATTGAATAAACATAAGATGTCCGAATCTTGAAGACGGCAGTGGCCGATAAATCATAATCCCGTTGATTTCATTATAGAACGCTGATATAGCAGAGAGCAAACGCACGTTGCACATGCATATTTTTTGGTCCCAGCAACCCTTGTTCGTCGATTAGTTCAAGCTTTACTTTGGCTGAAAGCTCTAGATAAAACTACTAATGTTATTTTGACGCTTGGCACCCTAACTCGGTTAATCTAGAGACCTCTATGTTTGGCTCGATGCGAAGTATATTTTCAACAGTGACTAGTTTCCAAGGGAAAACGGTCATCGAGTAACAAACAATTACACCTTCAGGTAACACCAAAAGTAGGATGTGCCTCTAGGTATGCAAACGTACTGTACGTAAACTTCAGAAAACGTTAACACTGCCCATGCATGCCATCTGCTCGTGAGCAGGTACGATGTGCTACGACTCTTCGGAAACACAAATCAAGACACTATAACGTTAATTTCGGAAATAGAGAAGGCATCGTCCCCTTGACCAGATCCACCAGCATTTTCTGTAATAGATTGCAGAGCAAACTCAACAGGGTTGACCCGAATGTTTCCTGCAACTTCACATAAGAGAACACAGATTGGAATGGCAAAAAGAACAAGAAACATTCACTTCTCTCTCACATGATGCCGAGAGCACTACACCGTCCATACAGCCAACCCGTATGCAAGTCTCACAATCTGATATAAAAGTTTTCAAAATCATTTCTTCTCAAGTTCTTGCGTCTCCATCCAAGTTCCAAACAGTCAATGTAGTGAAGTAGTGCATCACAAGCACGATATAGCCTGATTCCTTTTGGAAAACAAATCGTGGTTATTTATGCAACTGTCAAAGATTACTTCGACCAGATACCTGTCGCTGTTATAACGCACTGTGAACAAGAGCTATTGACATCTATGGACCCAGGTCTACTCTCTGCTATTGTACAACGAACACCATTGCACAGTCATCGCTGAACTTGATATGCACATCACATCAATCCAGAAGCTGTGACGACTTCCTATGATACGAGTAAATGCCATGAAATTTGTTTCATGGTTGATGAATCTTCTTCCCCGCCACTTCTAACTACCATCGATACCTTCATCAATCATTGCAGAACCATTCCAATAAAGGAAGTCCTGCACCTGAAAAGCGTAGGGGCAAACCAGGAGGTCTGGTACTCTGACCTTTCCACTCTTTTCGTTAAAAATATCGTCATGTCAGGTCGCGATATTGACTGGTGGCATCTACTCTAGCAGTAGGCGAGATGTCTTGAATCCATGTAGATGGGCCTCTTTCAAATACAGGAATGTCAGCAAACTTGCAATGTCCTATGAAACAGATAGGACATACATATGCCACTGGCCTGTTCGAGATGGTTTTATTTATCTCCAGCTCAAATAATTGTCAAACTCTTTCAACAATTTATCCATTACTGTTGATATGTATTACCATCTTTCACGATGTTCTGGATGTCGTTCTTGCATACATGCTACGTAATGCTCATTATACTTTTGGCATATCTCACCTTTTCTGAAAGCAGTATTTCCCAGCAAAACTCGACAGTTGAATTGTGGTTCTCTGGCCAGTCAACAGGCATGAACCTCACGCCCACAGTGCATGAATAATACCACGCACAATAAAAACCTAGTAAAGAAAAAGGAGCGAGTGAAAAGAGGTTGAATTCTGAGCGATAAGAGGCAAATCCATCAGGAAAAAATGAAGATTGTTAAGGACTGCCACAAGAACTGTAAGTCGTGGTCCAAGCTTTGCAATAATCCTGTTTCTCTTAACTGTGACTTTGACAAGGGAACAAAAAGAAAATTCGTATTATTTATGTAGCTAAGTCTATCTTCTGTTTACGCGCATCTCAAGTAAAAATGTTTGATTGTGCTAGGGTTCTAATCATACATCAAAAAGATTAACTGAACTGCAATGGTAACAGCACTGATTAAAACAGCACAGGCCAATGTGGCCTAACCAATTACCGGTATGTACACTCTAATCGGCCTCGGGGACGTTGTCGTCAGCCAGGCTCCATATCCTCATTTGATCCCTTGGCCATGATCAATCAGAGACGAACCCAGTTGCAACATGAGCGGATACACTGGACTAAACTCCTTATCTCCCCTCGCCTTCACTCTCGCGGCATAATCGTCCAGGGTACCCCTGATTCCCTTCCAAATTTGCTCTTCACCTTGGTTGTCTAGCCACAAAGAGTACTGTTGAAACGAAAGTCTCAACTTCTTCATGGGAGATTCCAACTCCTCGGGACCTCGAGAATAGAGATGATGAAGCACTACACTCAAAGGAAGTTCTTTCAACAAAGGGCTCCCAGACAACTGCGACGTATCCAAAAATATGAGAGGCCGGAATGCGCGGAGTGCATGATAGGGGGCTCCGAGCTGTTCAACCGGATACAAACTTTGACCAACGACAAGCTCCAGCTCCGCCATGTCCCGAGCCATTCGCAATTTTCCAGTTTCTGACAGAGGGCGAACAAGCGCCGCGTGACGAACGAAAAATAGAAGGACTCGAGATGCCATCTTCCTCGCGAGACTCGAACATATAGACTCTCCTCCCATGGCTGCTGAAGATGACCCCACCATTAACTTGGACAGAAACTCACTGCGATATAATGTGATAGCTCTCTGAAGATCGTCCATGTATTTCGAGGTACTGTCTTCTCCCTCAACATAGTCCACACCATCCGAGCTGAAGTTCTGATCATGGATCTGCAGGATGCAACTTTCCAGCTTCTCAACCATGGATTTGAAGAGAGGTGTAATAGAATCTAAAGCTACCCCATATACTGAACCAAGTGCAGCTGACAAAGCCTCGGAAGCGGCCGGAGGCAGGCCTGCCAGCATCGTTGACAGTCGGGTGTGCACCTCTTGCAAGTGCAAGCAAAGAGTGAAATTTTTCAACTGCAGGGGTGTAGCAGGACCAGACACTTGGCGAGAGTCGGGACCGGTGGAAATTTGGTACTCAGATCTCTCCGCCAGAAGCTGCAGGATCTTGCTCACTTCTTTCAACACCAGCAATGTGAGTCTACCGTCTGCCTTCGCAGCTTCGATCTCTTCCTGAACGCGCGATACGAGCCTGGCAATCTGGTCTTGAGAAGGTATACTGCCACGAACTGTGGAAGGGAACATATTATTTACATGCTCTGAAAGCCTAGTCAAACACTTCGCGAGGTAGGCAGTTTGGAACGGTTCTAGAGCCGCGATCAGCTGCGTTCTGTCTTCTGACTTGATCGCTGGCGGTACACCCTTAACGTCGGTCTCCCGTACAATGCTTTCTAGCAGGCTGTCGATGAGTGTTAGCAGCTTCGGATATCCGAGGACAAAGGTTTCCTTCACGAAGCTCGATGCAGTGAAAGCAGATCTCATCTGATTTCCAAAAGACTTGACGAGGGCTTCCCAAACACGTTCGGTGAGCATTGAATCTCCTGCCTGAGTCACTTCTTCAAGAAACACTGCATGCGAAATGGGATCTCTCTTCTTGGCCAGAACACGCTGCAAGTGCCACACAGCGAGCATAATCGTTTTCAACTGATTGATGCAAGTACCCAACCTCTGCCACAGACCTTCTCTTGCTCGTGAAGTACCTCCGAGCTGTGGAGTGCCACTTCTCTGTATACCTCCGGGCCCGCCACCTCCCATGGTGGACGATATGGCCTTCATGTCTAATGCAGAGCTCACACTCTTGGTGGCCTGAGATTTGTATTTATTGATCATAATTTCCACAGTAGACTTCAGCTCGCCCATATTGTAGTATACCTGCAAAACGCTTCCGACCTCGGCTTGATTTAGAGCCTCCATTCCAGCTTCAAGACTCTTCATTGCTTCCGTTCTAATCCTGTTCCCGACCTCCATAAGCCAAGGGACCTCTTCCTCGACAACCTCCACGCCCGCGAGATCCGCCTCCTTTCGCAATGTCTCGACCTCGTTGAAGAGCTGGGCTGCTTTGGCAAGATCGGCTTTGGCACTTCCCGACTCCATGAGTTCCCTCAACTTCCTCAGGTGCTTCAGGGCCTTGATCACCGACCGGAGGAGCTCCACGGTATCATGCAGGGAATTGAGTTGCTGGGACTTGAGCTTGATCTGCTTGTAGGGCTCAGCAATCTCGGATCTGACCCTTTGCACGGAACCCTGGAGACTCTCGACACCTCCCCGAACAACTGCCAGAACACTCTCGGTCTCCTTGAGAGTCGAAAGTTGCTGCAGGAGCTGGTCATGACGGAAGAAAACTTCATTCCTCAGCTGTTTCTCGAGAAGGTGAATACCTTCCTCCAACTTCTCCGAGGCAGCGGACGCGGATTCGCTGCCGAGAGCCTCGCTGGCGAACTGCGCCGCATTGAAGTCGTCGGAAAGAAACTTGGAAAAAACAGGATCCTTTTCGAACAACTCTAGGGCAGCTGGTGCGGAGGCGTCCGCAGATTCTCCGCCATTTTCAATTCCATTGGCCACATAGGGGCCCGATCCATCCCTATCATAGTGCACCGAAGACGATCGCTGGCTTCCGAGTCGGTGCAGCGCCGATCCAGACCCGGAATTCGACGGGCCTCGGTGGAAAGAGCTCGCTGATCTCTGAAGCACCGGAGTGGCCATACTCACGGCCTGCACGACGACCACAAAGCTCAATACTCGCCGACCAACCCTCGTCTCATGCACCACATCTCTCGACACGACACTCCCAGATTTTCCCACAACGCATCCCCGCACGCACCTGATTGGCTCCCGGGCGCTAGGGCTGTCGATCGTCGAATTTCCTGCTAGCGATCCGGCATTGTCCGATCAGCGCTGCATCGCTCCTCGTTTCCTCCTCGTTCCGTCGCACTTCTCCTTCGCTGCCACTTCGTCGCTCTCCTGTCCAGAGCAGACGAAGTCGAAGAACCCAGCCTCCTACCGTTCCCTTCCCTTCCCTCCCTCTTTCCACGACGTTATTGATTCGGCGTTACATGCGATCATCGGCTCCGTCGCCCACCGGCTCTTGCGTTTTCCACGATCCGCTGCAGCGTTCCTCGAGCGCTTTTAGACGACCCATGATTTTCTATTTTTCCTCCTCCTCCTCCTCCTCCTTGCGACGGACGCTGTTATCCGCGGGCTCTCGGTTTCCCTCTCCGAACTATGACGTTCATGTTTCCAGTTTCCTCCTCATTTGTTTCTGCTCTTTTCAGTGCATATTTTTCTAAGCATCAAATATTTACTTTCGAGCATAGTTCTCCCTTTCCATCACATTTATCTAGTTAAACATGCGAGATGTTCTTCGGAGTACACCAGCCTCCCGCTTATTCACGCATCCCGGTGAAAACCCATTAATTTTCGGAACAAATTTTAAAGTTCACCATTATTTAGTTCAACATGAATGGTCATTTGGCCCCAATTTTTGAAGATTATTGCGTTTGGCTTTGAAAGTGTACCATTCAAACAACCTCATAATAGCATCTAATTTTTCTTAGCCTCTTCTCAAAATTCTGAGCAACTCATACTCTATATGAACCACTTGCTTTCCTTATACTTACTTATATACAACGTTGACTAAACTCTTTATAGGTAAGTTTGTGCATATCAATTTCATCATCCAAATTCTCTTCATTCTTTTTAAAAGCTCATCAACATCTTTCAAAACAGCAACGGTGGATACTTCATTATTTTCATCATAGACATGAACATATTTTTCAAGTTATTCTATCGCAACGTAAAGATTTACGCTCCAATAGCTTGTGCAACTTTAGTCATTAAATCCTTCGTCATGTTCACTACTTTTTTATTGCCTTCTAATGCCTTCACAAATGTATTTCTTATAGAACTTGATGACACATATTGTCAAGTTTTTTTATATAACTTGCAACATCAAGCAAATGAGTTGGCTTTTTGTATGCAACTCCTGCAACACCTTGTCGTAATAACTTCATTTTTATCAAAAAATTTGTGTTCTCATACACTTCATAGAAGTCAAGAAGATACTTGAGATGATAATGTTTGAACCTCTTCTTTAGAGCTATGATAATGTTCATATCCTAGGATTGTTTCCAACTTGTGTAGTTTGGAGTCAAGAAGACCATATTAACATTAAACCTTTGAAAAATCAGCATGTTTCAACCTCCATCCAAGCTTTCATTTGACTGAAATATGAAACATGAAATTAGCAGTTTTTGAAAAAGTATATTGCTTTTGGTTTGCTGATCATTGTGCAAGGAATTTTGTGAGATCCACAATGTTGGTGCACAATATAAGAGAAATCAATTTTTGGATTTTTTTCCTTTTCTCTTGTTGTTAACATGTATTCATCTGCTATTAGAAGTATGGATCTCAGTAATAGGCCAAAAAATTAGCCAATCTCATCCATATTGTTAGGCTTTTTGAGTATCGAATTGAGCAATAATTAGGTAGAGGTCGTCTAGAACTATCAGTAATACAGTATCAAATTTGCTGCCCTCAACTTACTTTTAACGAAGAAACATCTTTTGCAACCGTCGGAACACTATGAAGAAACTTAATCATTGCCAAGATGACTTGAAGTCAATTTTCAGAATCAATAAGTTCAAAACTTTACTTTTTCTTTGGCTATAACAAGAAACGGCTGAACAAAAAAATTGACTTAATGCATGATGTCAATTCATATGTAAATTATGGAGAGAATTACCTGATGGGATTCCATCATAGTGCGGAAGTCTTGATGGGACCCAATACGTTATATTTTACCCGATGGTACCCTTTCCGACGGTAGTTAAGTTCATGATCACTAATGTTTAACTACGAGTTCTTGTAACTGCTTTGAGTCCAGGTTAGGAAAAGCGTTGTGGCTGCTTGTTGAGAAGTGACTTCTTTCCGCATGACCAGAATACGCAGCTAAAGAGACTTCGGCCAAGAGTTTTAGAATTAAAAATCAAGGAGTAAGTAAATTACTCACATTCATTATAACTGAAAAATTGTGCTCTCGCATGATGGCAACCATGAAAAATCTGACTTACTGAACTTCTGAGAGAATTTCATTTTTTTCATTGAAGTGGAAACAAGGAGTTACAAGAACTCGTATGAGAACATAACTGACGGTGAACTTCGGTGCCGTCGGAGGGGTCCATCGGATAAAATGAAACACATTGGGTCCCATCAAGCATTCTGCGTTCCGATGGGTACCATCAAGTAATTGTCTTGTAAATTATATCTTCAAGTTCGGTGAAACGACCAACAAAGCATCAAAAAATATTCTCTTTAACTTCATCACGCATTATGTCATATTAATTCAATATTTGTTCTCATTTGTTCCACACATGTTTGATGGTTCCATCACTAACATCTCACTTGCTTGTTACAAACCTTCTACTTGAAGCATCTGACTTTAACAATTTCTCAATTATATTGAATCGCTATGACTCATTGAGTACTTCTCATTCGATTTATTCATTGGAGCTCCTTGAATCATTTTTCATTTGGTTTCTTTGACATTGCAGCTTCTTCATAATCACTAGTTTTCATTAGATTTCTTCATAATTGCAACCAGTTAAAAAAATTTAGTTGTGAATCTTCCAAAGTATGCAACTATAGACTAAGAATTCAATATATTTCTAGTTTCAAGTTGCATACTTAGTCAAAATACTATTGTAAAAAACTTGACATCATGTGATAAATATCCAGTAAGACAGTGTCAATGTAAGACATTGTTTTCTTTTAGCATTTATTTAAAAAATTTCTTGCTACTGTCAATGTCATTCATCACAACACATTATATTTTTTTTTGCTTAATTCATGTTTATTTATATGTTCAATGCTTTGATTAATATGTGAACTGTAATACACTACATCTACTTTTATGAATAATTTTTGCAATCAAATTATTCATTCTTACATAAAAACATGCATTTTGCAATTAAAAAATATTAAATATATAAGAAATTTAAGGCATAAAAATACTAAATCAACTATTTATATCAATTATTCTTACACAACTTTCAATATTAACGACCTCAATATAAAATGCAGCATAAATTTTTTAATGATTTGATCATAGCATATATCAATATTTAATATTTTATACAGATTAAAATATTTTTTAGAATATTATAAATTTATTTAATTTTTATCTAAATTTAGGAAATTTTTTCTAAAAACTACGTTTTCATAAATTTGATTTTTTTTTGCACTGATACAAATGAAACTTGTTTATTTTAAAAGTAGATATTACAAGATAATTTAAAGAAAATTTTTCCAATGTATTTAAATCACAAATTTATCAAAAGAATGACTTCATAAGATTTAATAAAAGCATTAATTTCAATATAAAAGTACCTTAAAATAAAATTTTCATGCATTAACATTGAATTTTCTTAATAATCATTAATCGTAAAAAAATTTCTAAATGTTGAATTTATATCTCAATTGTGTAAAATGTTAAAAAAAAATCATTACATGAGACATTTTTATAATTCATGATTTATACATTTAATTCATTTGTCGTGCGAATACATATCGTCATATACTCTACATCACTGACATGCTACTCACATACCCATACTCAAACATACACACATATAAGACGCGAGAGCGTACACACTCAAATGTAACACAACTTGCCCCCCTAGCTCGCGGTCAGGTTCCTTTGACTCCCACTCAAATGTACCACAACTCGCACCCTAGTTGGCGGTCAAGTACCTCTGACTCCTAGGTAGTTCTATCTACAACTACATGCTATACACCTTCGTGGGTGCGCAAACCAGTAGGCCGGGTGCTATGTCGCCCCATCGTTAGTCGCCTATCTACAATTCATAACATGTGAAGATCAAGTCATCTACCCCTCTGAAGTACATCGAGTACAAACCCATTTGAAAAGCTCGTTAGTTTCACTGGCACTAAAACCGTCACAAATATAAGTCGAGCCCAACCCACTCTAGGTCGACGCTTACGGGTGTTGATATTAAATCTGGTTAAGGAGTTAACTGAGGTTAGTTAACCTTGGTTAACCGCATATGTAGCTATTTATAGCTTAGGTGGTTGACTACCTTGGGTATATATACCTTGAGGGTGATAGGAAGAGAATCACTTCAAGCATTCAAGCAGTAAACTCTCTAGTGCTCTTCTACCCGTGGACGTAACCTTTGAGGGTGAACCACGTTATACTCTCGTGTAACTCGTGTTGGTGTGACTCTGGTGTCGATGTGACGGTTCTGAGTTTTAACGTTATCAATTGGTATCAGAGCGAGTTCCGGTTCGGACTCTATGTCATAAAAAGTTTTATGAGACCAAATGTAGTGACAAGTTTTTCCATGTGGTCAATGTCTTTGGAGTTGTGAGTTTTTTCTTTCTGTTTTTCCAGTTTTTTGGTGTTTGGCACCTTCAGAGTTCTGTCAAAATCTGATGTATATTTTCAGTGACAGTCTTTTACAGTCAAAATCTGACGGGTTTTTTCAGTGATAGTATTTTCTGTCACAATCTGACGTATATTTTCAGTGACAGTTTTTACAGTCAAAATCTGACGGGTTTTTTCAGTTCTGTCAAAATCTGACGTATATTTTCAGTGACAGTCTTTTACAGTCAAAATCTGACAGGTTTTTTCAGTGACAGTTGTTTCTGTCACAATCTGACGTATATTTTCAGTGACAGTTTTTTACAGTCAAAATCTGACGGGTTTTTTCAGTGACAGTATTTTCTGTCAAAATCTGACGTAATTTTTAGTGACAGTCTTTTACAGTCTTTTCCTTTCTTTTTTCTTTTCAAAACTATCAACAAAGTTTTCAGTAGAACTTTGAGTTTATATCTTGAAGTTTAATAGAAACTATCAGAAAATTTTTTCAATAGAGGTTCAAGAGCAGGTTTCAGTGAAATCGTTTGAGAGTGTTTTTTGAAACTTACAGTGGTTTGGAGTTTCAACTTCAAGCTGCCTGGAAGATCTTGTGCAGATTTTGTTGATTTCCAGCTCGTCTTGTTGGATATTATCTCTATAATCTCCGGAAGAAGAAAGTAGTAGCAGCGGCAAACGCTTGTTTAGGGAGCGGAGGAGTAAAACGTCGAGCGAACAAGAAAGTAGTAGCAGCGGCAAGCGCTTGTTCAGGGAGCGGAGGAGTAAAACGTCGAATGAAGGAGAAAGGTAGTGGCGAAGTCTTCACCGGCGCGGCCG